TTCATGAGACTAGAGAATGCCTTAAAGCAAAGTTAAAACCTTGAATTGATGCTTTTGAATCTAAAGATTTTAAAATATGCCAGAACTTTGAATTGATGCTTTTGAATCTAAAGATTTTAAAATAAGTCAGACTAAGACAACATAAATGGAATACAAGTTTAGTAATAATTGGAACAAAATAATGACTTTGTTAAGATTAATGGCCAAGAAGTACCTAAAAGCTATTACTTTGGATATCTTAAGTCCATGATCTGTGAGAAATGAGAATTTGAGGAAGATGTTATTCATAAAATTAGAGTTGGATGGACAAAGTGCATATGTGTTTTCGAAGTCATATGTGATCGTTGCACACCAATAAAACTAGATATGAAATTCTATAATACAGCTACAAGACCAACCATACTTTATGGGATAGAACATTTGATGGTCAAGTAACAACATATCAATATATAAACATAGTTGAGATGAATGAGTGGCAAGACATGGAATGATAGAAGTCTGAATGATAATGATGATTTGGTATCGTCAATAACAAATTATTATATTTCTATTATGTTTGGCATTAAAAGTACCAAACTGTTGACTTTCTCTTATCTTTGGTACTCTAAATACCACACTTATCTTTGGTACTCTAAATACCATACAATACTCTTATCTTTGGTACTCTAAATACCATACGATATTTCTCACAAAAAACCAACCTAACATAGTTCAATACGGAGAGTGCTAAACTAAAGGACATTTTAGGAAAAATAAAATAAAGAGAAAAAAAAGGACATCAACATAAAAAAAATAAATAAAAAATGGATATTATTTAGAGGGTGAGGTTTGTATAGAACCGAAGCTCTAAACAATCAAAGTAAAGCGCCCCTTCACTTAGTATAGAGAAATGTGGTTTCAATATAGAAAATATTTGTGATAGTCTTAAAATATATTTTCATATCTACTTATAATATTTCAAGCTTACAAAATAGTGCAGATTAAGCATATTTATGAAAACTTGAAAATCTTGAAAATTGACAGTCAAAAAATGCATTACAAGATGTACTATTTCTAGAACTTGAAATCCATGTTTTTCTCATGTCCATACATCTTGATATCAAGAAGATTAATTTGAAGAAAATTGGGCATCAAACAACCTTTTCTAGTGAAATTTTTTATGTGCACTCTAATTTGATTGTTTAGAGCCTCGGCTCTATATAAATCATTTATCTTTGGTGCAAGGTGGTCACAATTAATCTTAATCATTAGATGCGAAATTTGATGGCTGCATTTATTCTATTGACCAAACTCAAACTTCAAAAGAAATGCTATCGGACTTTGTGACACACCCAAGCATCAGATTTCACATCAGATGGTTGTAAGTAAATGTGACCTCCTTCTATCAAAGATAAATAGTCTCATTGTATAAAATCTCTTAATTATAAATTTCTTTTTGCAGTGAGGTGGGTGAGGGATGGGGGGAGAGAAAGATTGACCGATTCCTAATGGGAAATTCTTAGAGGAAAACAGTCGGTTCCTAATATACTTGGAGAATTATACTAAACCCTTTTATTCTCGATCTGGATCAGATGATTCCAAGATCACCGTTTTTTAAACCCTACTTTGACCTCAACATTTTCATATACATTTTCTTTGAACCCAAATTTGAGCAAGACTTTATATATATATATTGCATGGAACAATGTGTTTGCATGTGCCAAAGAAACCATGCATCTATCGCTTAAGTGCATGCTCCCCAAGTTTTACATGCCACCCTTCTCACCCTCTAAAAGGCGTCAAGATACTATGAGCGAGAAAAATTGGGTTACATAGTTACTTGGGATTAGCCAACCTTAGGGGTTTGGAGGATGGGGCATATGTAATCTTTTCCTCTAGCCTTACATATGATTGTTTCTTTATTATTTGGTATTTTAAAGAGGAATATAGGGGTACATAGAAAGTCCCCTTGGAGACATATCACACATAAAATTGGGATGCTATAAAGAAGATTAACATGGTCCCCCAACCTAAGATGACACGCACATATCGAGAACCATTCTTTAAAAATTAGTTAAATGAGTAAAAAGGACCCATTAGGGTAGTTGTGTTTAGAATGACTATTAAAAATACCTATAAGTAAACTTCTACAATATTTGGCTCATCACTCATTGTCGTCCAAAGTCCATCGGATATTCACATTTGTCTGATAGTGTTTCAAAAAAAAAAAATCTAAATGGGATCAACATCAAAATTTATGGGTGTGTGTAACTTTGTTATTCGTACCTTAATAAAATGCTACAAAAATTAATTAACAAAATTATCAAATTGCCCCTATAAAAAGTTTAGGGTATTTTTATTGGGATTGTATACAATAATGACATTTACCTTTAATACAAGGTGATCACAATTCTTTACAACCATTTGATGTGAAATTTGATAGTTTGGATGTGTCACAAAGTTTGAAAAAATTTCTTTTAAGGTTTGAGCTTAGTCAATAGAATAATTACAGCCACCCAATTTCACATCCAATAGTCAAGATTAATGTGACTATCTTGTATCAAAGGTAAATGGTCTCGTTTTATACTTTCCCATTTTTATTTTTTTGCTTTTTTGTTAGCAATTTATGTTTTTTTTTCTTTTTTTCTTTTTTTGAGCAAGATGATTAGAACCCAAATTTTACATAAATTGGATTTGTAGAAAGATGTTACTATTCAAATGCTATTGGATAATTATGTTCGTCTGATAGACTTGAATGGTGATGAACTATGAGTAAAATACTATAGAAATTTGATAGACTTGAATGGTGATGAACTATTAGTGAAATGCTATAGAAATTTGCTCATTAAAAAATTGAAGTGTTACTTTGAAGTGTTACCCTACGTCTTGATGTGTCGTTACTTTGAATACACCCCACTCACTCTACCCACAATTATCTGATCTTTAGAACACCACTAGATTTGGCACCTATGCTTCATGCTTAGAAATTTTAGGGGTATATATTATTTAAAATACGAAATATTCTCCACCTTATACTGCAGAAGTAAAGTACAACCCCAAAAATTGAACCCGCCGGAAATAGTTATTCTAATACTGGAAGAACCTCCAATTCATGATCGCCAACTTTACATAT